CGCAAATTGATTGACTAATTGGGAACAGTTAACAGGAAACATTTATCGTTTGTCGCACTTTTCGGCGGCTAAAAATTCACGACAAAGTTTACGGTAATCGAAATCTTTTTTTCAAAACTGACTGAGTACAAAACCAAACCAGGCAGGTTTGGTTTGACTTCTGGAGCCCCATTCGGACCCCCTTCTGGACCCCCTATTGTTTCTTCCGGAAAATACGGGCTCTATTTAATCACTGGGCAAAATGTGAAGAACTAATGAATTCAAGCAGCATTGTGAATAATGTGATGGAATAATAAGAACTTTGCGACAAAAAGAAACACTCAAAAAGAAACACTCCCTTCGGAGCATCTTTATTGATAGAGAAGCCTGGATTATGGCATCTACGAACTGTGAAACGCTCTCGGTCCACAACTTTTACGTTTGGAAAGTGCACTTCACTTAAAAATTGTTCACGAATTCATTCATTTATCTGCATTTCTTGCCATTTTAACGAACTGTCTTTTCCCTTTAACATGCTCTTGTGTTCTTTGCGGAGGTCGATTAAAATCTCTCCTTCTAAGGTGAATGAACGTTTCCTGTTCAGGCCATAGTTCAGGCGTGAAGGTTCCTTGCAAACTTGACTGATATGGTATAGCCGACACATATTGGGAAAAAAACTACAAATCTGCTCAAGTAAAACAACTGTTTCGAACTGTTGTTACTATGTTCAGTAGAAGATTATGCACTTGTTTGCGCTACAGTGAACATCTCACATCTACATCTCACATACAGACCGCCGAGTGATGACTGACACATTTCACGAAAAAGCCAATGCACGGCACTGATACTACGAGACCACTAACCTGGGTTAGACCACGCAGAAAGGTAGCTTAAAATTAACCTAACTCGGTTAAAAAATCTATTGTTCTTCAGTTTATTTCCATGGTAACCATTAACCCGGTTTAAGTTCAATGAACTGCCGAAAATTGCGGCCACATCACGATTTTTCAGTAACCCGGTTTTAAAATCGTAATTGATTAATTAGAAATAACCCGGTTTAGATAAAAGAACAAGGAATAATCTATATACTTAGGTCTATATATTTAGTGGCTCGTTTGGCTCGTTTGGTTTGGCAGTGGATGAAAGAACAAGCAATAATCTACATGTATATATGCCGTTAAGTCCTACCTTTAAATATTTAGTGGCTCGTTTGGCTCGGCAGTGGATGGCAAAGGAGCCAAACGAGCCGCATGGCTTGGTGGATTTTTAACAGTGGCCCCGTATTCTGTAGCGTAGCCAATACGGAGCAACTGATTATATCATAGTGTTATGTTCTAAGTTTCATTTTTTAAAAATCAGGAGCCCGTATTTTCTGGAAGAAAAAATAGGGGATCCCGATGGGGATCCAGAAGGGGGTCCAGAAGGGGGTCCAGATGGGGTCCAAAAGGGGGTCCAGTAGGGGATTCAGATTGGGGGGGTCCACGTTTTTGTACCGACCCTCAACCTCATGAAAATTCAGCAGAAAACTAAGTAGTTCAGAAACTTTGGTCAAATTTGATTCCTAGGTTCATTCACCTTTTCTTATTTTATCTATTTTCTCGTCGTCTTTTCTGTTTTGTCGCTGAGGGGTGATTAAAAAGCCAGTTTTTCAGGATGTATAGCTTGAGTTCCTATAGCCTGTTTGGCTGTCACAAATATGACCATTAAACATTTTTGATGGCGGTCGAAAGTGTTTTAATGGAGGAATAAATGTGGTCAAATACGTTTACCACAAGATTTTCTGCGTAGACACCGCCAGATCCAGACTTGATTGCATTAACGTTACAGTCCATGCCAACGCGGCTCAAAGCTCAGTTTTGTTTTCTAGATGATTCAAACTACCATTTTATTCAGATACACGCATATGTTCTCACTTAACTCTCAACAGTGTTAATGAAAAGTTATCTAGCTCTGGGTTCACATGGCCATGGATGAATATCTATGGGTAAAAACTGGAAACTTTCTTTGTCATTTAATACTTTCACAGTTGACCGTATTGTTCTTTGATAGCATAAAGTGTCAAAAATAGTGTGGAGCCGTGCCTAATCAGATTTGTGGTTCTTCGAGTTTTTGAATTGCGTCAAGATAGCAGCAATTTCTAGGGTTGAGTTTGTAGAAATGTTGTTGTTAGTACAGGTCATATCTAACTTTTGCTCTTCCAGTTTGTATTTAAACAACAGCTCTTTGATTTTCTGACGAAAACGGGACACCTACGTCACTTGGGACAAAATGCTGTGACCTGCTTGTAAAGGAAATGTCAATGTTGTTTGTTTTGGATGATCTTAGGGTTTAGGGTTACCTGCACACAAAAAAACAAATTTTATTTACAACATACCATTCGATTGATAACTTCACTAGTTTTTGGACTACTTTAAATGAATGTTATATTTGTTTCCCTATTGCTAAGATTGTTATCAGTGCTCGCTTTCAATTACTTCCAAAGAACCCGAGAGAGTCTAAATAGAGAGACTGAAATGGCTGCACTACAACATAGTATAGGGGAACGAAGTGAGATTTTTTTGCAATCCTGAGGCTATCTGAAATTACTTGGCCTTCAAAGGGTCATTTGAGGAAGTATTAGAACTGATTGAAATGTACAGGATGTGCGTTGTTCAGCCAATCAGGATATGCAGGCGGCGATTAGGTTGTACTTAACCGCAAAACGTCGCCTACTTGTTCGCGACGAAAACATACAGGTAAACTCTGCGATTTTTTTTTGGGGGGGGAGGGGGGGGGACTCGTGCATGGTGCATTTAATTGTGATTACGTTGTACATGGTCCTTTCATGGTTGCCAGAAAACTGCGATAGCTTGATGCATGTAGGTTTTTAGAGATGAACAAAGCAAAACAGTTAGAATTGGGCCCGAGGAACTGCACGTCCGGTGTTATGATTCAGATCTGTTGTGACATAGTTTTACTTGTTTATCAGTCGAGGCTCAAAGCGGCTTAACGATATCTTTCTCCAAGCCCTCATGCGTCAGCAGGTGCACAGTTGTTCCATAGAATGACGTTGGAGAAACCTTAATTTGAATGGTATGAAAAAAGAGTTGTATAGAGTGATTTGGTCATGTTAAGCCATTGTGCATTCATAGCATCCGACAAATGGAGGAGTGGAAGTCTTTGTTGAGTGCTATATGTGTTCTACCCGCCTTTTTATGGTATTTACATCCCCTTTACTCCTCCTTCCTATTTCCCCTTTTTGAAGCCAATTGTAGTTGAAAACCGTGGTTCGATGTCCCATGCGTCAGCGATTTTTTCATTTTTTTTTTTTTTTTTTCATTTTTTTTTTTTTTTTGTGCGGTTTTGTTTCGTGTTTTGTGTGGTATATATACTGCGAGCAGTTAAATATAAAGATCTCTTCTGATCAACTGATAATGTATACACACCCAATTGGGACACTCCGTATTGTCAATTTTGCGTTTATCTCACTTTGTATGGTATTCGTAATTTTCAATCTCTTTCCTATTTCACATCTCACCTTATAGGGAGACTTTATGTGTTCTATATTTTTAGCAGTTGTATAGCGCTACGGCTGTGTAAAAGCAAAGTAAACCCAGATATTGCAGAACAGTTCTCTCACAATGGCGAAGTAGGAAGCTATTGTAATACCGCCAAACTTGACCTTCCCAAGTTCAGACAAAAAATGATTTAAAATATCAATGAATTTAGCAAATGAATGTTGTGCTAAAATCAAATGCAGACGCCTTAATTGAATAGTTAATACATGAGGACTAGCCGGGGATATTAGGACAGATTTGTTAATGCAACATTACTCGAGTCCGAACTTTCAAAGCCAAGTTTTAAGCTACCACCTGGTTAGCGAATCACACTTTGAGGTATTTATCTTTTACTTTTTAATTTATTTCCTTGTTTCATTTTTCTTTACAAGCAATGACATGCTATCTAAATCTTGATGAACAATCCTTTAACGGTCATAAAATTATAAACCGTCTTGTCATTCAGCTATTTTTTCTGAGTCCTCCGGGAGGTCTTGGTCGCAGCTTCCAGCACTGTTTGTCTCGCTCTCAACGAAACGTTACCAGGACTTCTACATGCTCAAGTTTCTGTTCTTTTGAATCAATTTGTAGTCGTTTCTTGTCCCATCGCTGGTTCCTCAGTGAACTGAAACGCACAAAAACGAATTAATATAATTTTGAATAACCTATTGTAATCCTTCATCTCGTTGTTATGTTGCATTGTGACATTATAAAATGTTTGTAGTTATGTTGCTGTTACAAACGTTGTTTTCAATAAATATGTACAAAGTGCAAAGTGAGTATTTCCTCGCTGCTTTGTCTTGCTTCCGGCATGCATAATTAAAATTATCCAATTTTCCGCGAAGTCTTAACTGGAAGGTATAAATTTTCTTCTTTAAGCTCGAACTCAACACAATTTATATATTTTAAGAGTTTTTTTTTTTTTCACGAGATTAGGGAGCCAAACTCTTATGGTAAAAAGTGGGTTGGGGTTTTCCTTTGTTCGATCACATTGGAAAGTTAAAGAACATTTCCAAAATTGCTGTTTGTTGGGGATAGCTTGATCTTTTAACGGACCAACTTTGACTGAGATAGGACAAATCGCCTTTCAGTTGTAACTCTTCAAAGTCCGAAAATGGCAAACACAAAGTGAGAAAACCGCCATAACAGCAATTAGCTGTCTATTAATCAAAAATTCTTATTAGAAAACTGCTGTGTTCTTTTCTCAGTGAATATTTACTGTTCTTGAATTTTCTTATGTTTTTTTGACTGAAAGCCTGTAAATTGAATTTTTTTTTTTTCATGCTGAAGGTACACGGTAAACTTAACTTATAGCTGATAATTCAGTGCAAATAACAACTATGTTTATCAGTAGTAAATTAGTGATAAGACTGAAAGAAAACGATCAATTAATCAAGACCAAAGTTTAAAAGGAACATTTACTGTGATTGTCACACTGATGTAACGCGCTGTTGTCCTTAAGGACCTTTTCCACGTTTTTAATACGTATTAAGACAAAGTTAAAAACAGATCAATGCGAAACAACGACAGCATTGGAAAATACCATGGAATTAATTGATTACAAACCAGACTTAAAGGGAGAAGAAGGATTAGCCTGGAAAAAATATATTGAGATGGATTCTAAACGACCTAGACTTTTAGTGAAAAGCAGATATATTGTGCATTGTGGAAGTCGGCAATTAAGGATAGATCAGTAATATTTGGAGGCTGCTTATTAAAAGGGGTACTGCACCTGAACTTGCTGGTCCTGTTTGTGAAAGAATCTTCGGCCAGTTCGGCATCTTCGTACACGCCAACGTGCGCCAACTATACATGGAAAACGCTTCCAAGGCTGAATGTGCGAACTCTCCACTTCTTCCGATAAAGAATCACCGTCAGTTTCCTCGCTTAAAGACGAACTTGAATGTAAAAGGAATAAAGCTACAATAGAACATAAGAAAATATAAATCTTTGGCGACATCATGTGTTTCAAGGCTCTGAATTGCTAAACAGTTCTATTCAATGTCTTATCATGCACACAAGCTTTATTTCTTTTATACTTTAATTTCAACGTGGACCTTTCTGATTACGCTATTATCTTATCTTCTCATGATTATCGTTGGCATGCTTCCTTTGCCCACTAGTTTCCTTTTCTTTGGCTTTGTCTCCGACATCTATCTATTTCCATGAATACAGTAGTTCCTTTATGTAACGCCCAACTTGAAAACCTATATTCATCTAACAGAACAAAGTACTGAATGACTTTGTTGACATTGATTTCAAGAAGGACCGTTTCAGGGATGTCTTCAATAGCTTTTAATCCTCTCAAGTTTAATTTACTTGAAGAAAAATCTTCAATTTTTAAATATGAACCATTCAAAGAACTTTGACATTTACCGGAAAGTTCAGTGTTTGGGACGGGAAGAAGGCGGGGAAAATGACAAAGGGACAGAAACACAACTTAAGTTGTTTGAACGGACGAATTAGATGTCTACTCAGTTATATTTTCAACATCGCTTAGTTTCTCTAAATACGAGGAGACACTAGTTTCCTAAAATATCTTATTCAAACAGTTACACCTGCAATCACAAGTCAAGTTGGAAAATCAATTTTATCCGGTTTTGAAATTCGAAATAAATTTTAAGGACTTCTTATCTGCTAGCTTTCGATATCCACCAAGCACTAGCTAACGTTTAGTTGTTGCTAAATGATTGAGGAAACGTAACGAATATTTTGTAATGTTTCGTGTACAGTTGCTTAGTCTTTACATATTTTTAATCGGTAATAGTTCAGCCTCGCTTCCCAGCTCCGTAAACCCTCAGCAATAAACTTAAATTCCGGGAATACGAAGTTAGAAGTTAAGAGACACATGTTTCCCACTTGTAATTTCGTTCATTGGCGACTTTATTTAGTCAGGATTTCAACGCACGCGAATTCATGATACGTCGGCGACGTTGAAGTAGATCAGCCTGCTTCTAATTTACGGGTAATAACTATTTTGGGAAATTTTCAGGGTCAATTCAGTTTTCGAAGGAATTAAATGAAATCCATGAATTCTATCTGTGGTAAAAGCGCAAATAACTGCGAGAAATATTTTAAAAAATGACTTTAAACATGTTCCTGGTCTATAGCTATCGACTGCTTTTGAACCACAACCTCTTGGTCGAGAGAGGAAAAGACAACATTTTCCCAGCTGAAGTGTATACGCCAACTTTGGCTAATTTCTTTACTATTTCGACTAGTATATGAAGCGTGGATTGATATGTCATGAAAGTTCGTCTCTCTCCTTGAATTATCACTGAAAGGGCTTTGAAAAGCTCGTCTTCCTTAAGGCGTCATGCGCGGATTAGATAAACATCAATTTGGAAGCAACGTCGAGTTGACACCAAGTTTCCGTTAAATTAGATTGAGCAAAGCTAACACCCTTTTAAAGACAAACAAACCACCTGTTAGACTTGGAGTTCGTTGATGAGAAGTCAGTGGAGAGATCACTGTCATCCGGCAGCTTATGCTATATACAATGCATTCAACTCATCAACAAAACAAGTGAGCTCGTGGATTACCATCCGTCCCTTTGCTTTGAGTATTATATTCAGTATGAGAAGAGGAAGAGACTTTCAGTTCTATACAGATAGGGCGCTTTTAAAAGCTTTCTTGATTAACGAATGATTTACGCGAACAAAATGCTTTCCACGGCGGGCTAAGCCAGCTTACCTCGGCGACCGTCAGCTTGCTTTGTTCGATGATCTAACCAACTACACTGTTTCTAACCAAGGCGGTAGCCAGGAAAAAATTATGACTGAGGGAATGTCCATGAAAAAATTATGACTGAGGCAATGTCTATGGTTTAGTTGCCTTCCTGTAGGTATTTAGCATTTTGTGTTTTTACTTTCCCCTTTAAAAAGGAAAGTACAGAAACGAAATCATGACTGAGGCAAGTGCCTCGATTTGCCTCACACTGGCTTCGGCCCTGCTTATAATGTACGTCTCTTACCGTTTTATTTGTCTATTTTTGTGAGGGATGGGGACTGTTGTATTTTAATTTCAGGCAAAGCAACAAGTTTTACGAAGTAATAACGGCCAGCAAATCTCTTGGTCATACATCACATCGGGATAATTTTATTGAATCGTAATATATATGTGACCGACACTGCTAATGTCTGACATACACTGAAAAAAAGTTCATCTCATTTCTTTTAATTACGTCTTGTATGGCTATCAGTGTTGACTCAGATTTAGGTAAGAATGGCTCAGTTTAAGTAGACATAAGTAGTTGTTATCTTCAGAATTGGTCCATAATTCAGTCCATCGGCTTTCCCCTGTTCCACACATCCGTTGGTCTGAAAGAGAAAAAATTCTTGTCTATCATTCTCGATCCCAGACCTCCGTGTTCTTGACAATGCAAGTTTCCGTCAGCTATGCGCACTGGAAATAAACTCTCGAATCGAAAGGATTTCCTAGTTCGAACTCAGTTGTTCCTGGCCCGCATTTTACTAGCCTTCACTAAAGTACAGAACAGTTTAAATCTGGGGCAATTACTTCCACGTGAAACCAATTCCCCACATTTCTGATCCTAGTGTTCTCGAACGCCCACAGTACGTTTCAAACATTTTTAATACGGTAACTTTGACAAACCTAACTGACATTGCTTGATCTTTCAGCAAGACTAGCCTTTGGTGGCGCGATCACGGATAATTTACGGAAAGATTTTAGCGTCAAGTGACTGCATTCATACAAAACATTCGAATACCTTAAATTTGAAGTTCGTCCAAGTCCTCGCTTTCCTTGACCGGGTCGACATCTTTGCGTTCTGTACCGCACACCCACGATACAAGGAGATCGTTTCCAAAGTTGGGCATTTAAATCTGGATCTAACGGGCCAAGACTGCTTTTTTCGTCCAAAGACAAACCAGATTTGAGAAGAAACTGTGAGAATATTACTAAACTTGCTAAAATACTAATTTTTAGCAGCATGACTAATAAAGACGACTCGACTAGCTGAAGACAGGCCGAATAAAAATGAGCTTCTATCAGCTTAAATAATATTCGAGTTGTGACTAAAGGCTCAAAGTGCTAATCAAGCTTTGTTTTGCAAAGCGGAAAACTTGGCGGCCTTCATGTGTCCATTTTATGATTTACAAATGAATTTTCTAAAGAAAAGTATTCTTTAGAATTTTGTACCACTGGATAAAGGGCCCCTTTTGAATCGCTGTCTTTGTTAGGTTCGAAGTAATTATCTCTCTATTGAGCGAGATATTATCATACTAAAAGATGGATGCAATCCACATACAAATAGTTGTGTTAATAAAACTTATTTTACAGAAAAACAGATCAGATCTGGCTAAATCCAAGCATACTCTTGTAGTTATAAAATATTTAACAAATGATCATAGGATTTTGAAACAATAAGGCTCTTTGCGCTAATGAAGATAACATCGTTCAATGAACTTAACGACTCTGTCATTTGCTGGTATTTGTGTTTTCTTTCCCATCAATTTACGCTTACAATTATCAACTCTATGGACTCATTTGAACCCGAGAAACAGATGATCACTGTTAATCGAACTCAGGAACCCTACAGAAACCGAAACATTTTACTGAAAATTGCGTAAACCACAAACTAGTAAAAAGTTATTATTAGATCGCAAAATATCTTCTTAAATAAATGCTCTTACTATCTACCCAGAGTTTCGTCAATTGCATATATTGGCTTATTATGCCACGCATGCATAGGTTGCTATTAATTAGAATGTTGTAACCATCAGATTAACAGCGTTTTAGTTTAAAAATCTGCGGGCAAAGTTGACAGACTTAAAAAGGTTCGTCTGTTTGGTCAATTTCAACTTTGTAGCGCGCGATTTGTCGTTTGGTTTGCAGTCAAGAAAGTTAGCATAACTGTTAGGGATTGACATACATGCAGTTGTTAGAGAAAATTGAAGGACCCAAATTTTACGGTTATTAAATTAATTAAAATCCATGCTTCTTTTTTCAGATGTTTGCGCATATGCAAACACACATACTTGTATCTGACAAAGGTCAATTTCTTGAATAAAAACTGAAAAATGTAAAATGTGCTTGTGGCAAACTAGCAAAATTTAGTGAAGCTGGCTTTTATTAAGGTTGGTTTGGATATGATCGTTATACAATCAACCTTCCAAAAGGTGGGCAATCTGGCTTACAACTACCAGTTTTCATTTGATCACACAATCGCTAGAGAATGGAGAAATATGCCTGAGGGGACCTAGATCACACAACGACGCAATTCATTGTGGTACACACTTTCAGGCATTGCAACGACCGATACAATTTGTAGACCCAGAGAGGTTTCCAGTCACTAAGATCGCTAGAAAGAGCTCTTGCCTATCTCAGCACACAAAACTGCGATCGATCGATACGCCGGATGGTCAGGGATTTCCACTACTGATTGCAACGGTCGATGAATGTTTTTTTCCAGCGATGGTCGCATCTCAGCTGGGTTAACCAGCTTATAGGCACAGTTTTTTGTATCCCTTTGCGGTGATCTTTCGTTTTCATCCACTCTGGTTAAAAGTGCCAAAATTTGCCGCAAACACCTTTCTCAGAGTTCAATCATGAGAGGAAAAACTCTTTTTCTGTCAGTGTTAATCAATTAATTGTCTTTTCCCACTCGAACAGATGGAAGTTTTGGTAATTTCTCCTTAACGATTTTCTTAGGGGAATTAGGCAAAAAGCCCAATGACACCTTTTTGAAAGCTTTCAATGTGGTCATAAAAACAGCGAAACCTTTTTATTCGTCAAAGTACATCCTCTATACACATGTTTATGAAATGAAGTAATCATTAAGATTATAAATAAAAATTCATCTGGATGTAATGCGGCCAATTTCATATCTGAGAATGAAAAG